TGTGTGTGTGTGTGTGTGTGTGTGTGTGTGTGTGTGTGTGTGTGTGTCTTTGTTTAATATGTGAGTGCCCCCTAGTGGACAAAGAGTAGCTCATGGATGTAGAGAATACGTTGGCATGACCTCTATTAAATGTGTGTTTAGGTGGATTACACAGGTGTCTGAACACACACACACACACACACACACATGCTGTGTATAGAGATGAATTCATTATTAAGAGAGGCTAAACCAACACAAAGTGTGACATTTCTCTCTCCGCTCCGCTCTGTCCTCCTCTCTCAGCACACCACCGTTCTGCCCTTCATCATCATCGAGATGCGGACCACCAACCACCGGTACCCCAGCAGGTCGTGGGGTCTGGCAGCCGTGTGCTGCTTCGGCGTGGGATACATCCTCTGGTACCAGAATGTTTCCTGATTGTTTTCTTAACGCTTGGTACTCCTCTCTTACTCTTCTACAGCGCCGGGTACATTTAGTGTTATGAGATGTTCACGGTGTACTTTAGTGTTTGATGAACTTATTTAAACTCTTAAGAATCCTTTAGAACGTTCACTTCTGTTAATTAAGCTCTCATGTGATTTCATGTGATATTTTATCTCAATCATCTTTGAGAGGTTAGTTTTGGCAGTTGGTTTAAAGTTACATCATAAAACTGGTTCTGAACCAGTCTCAGTGTAGTCCTGATCCTCTATATGAACCAGTCTCAGTGTAGTCCTGATCCTCTATCAGACCTCCATCAGTAAAGAGACCATCAGAGAGAAGATGGTCTGTTTCTATAGAGTTATTCTTAATGCTCGTCATCGGAGCCACCGGGTCGGATTCTGGTGAAACCAGATGAACTCATGCAGGTTCACCAGAACCTCCTTCAGCTCAGACTCCAGCAGAGACCGGTCCACCGTGGACAGACCCAGATCCTCCAGCAGAGACCGGTCCACCGTGGACAGACCCAGATCCGGAGCTCCGGAGGGAGGAGGAGAGCTCAGCTGCCGGCAGCAGCAGCGTCTCCTCCTCCTCCTCCAGGAGCAGAGCTTCTCCTCTCTGGGAGCCAACACCACGCTGCTGGAGACCCAGGACGTATTGCGAAACACAACCACTTTAGTCCACAGGGACCGCCAGAGTCAACACAAGATGGAAGCTCTTAGTTGTAGCTTTTAAATAAAACCTGTACGGTTGAACATAGTTTTAGACGAGCTGTTTGAATGTGTATAGTCCTGAGTTATAATACTAACTGAACCAAATAAAACACATGCATATGAATCCACGTTAACTTGAACTCCCTGTGACCCAGGACGTGTTGGGTGCACCAGGTGACGGGTGTGTGGGTGTACCCGGTGCTGGAGCGCATCACTCCGCTGGCTCGAGTCGTCTTCTTCAGTGCGATGACGGCGGTGATTTGTGTTTTCTACACCCTCGGAGAAATCCTCAACAGCTACATCTGGGACCAGCCACACACAGGTACACACACACACACACACACACACACACACACACACACACGCACCGTTTACAGTCTGCTGACGTCACACACTCCTTTCTGTCCTCTGTGTGTCTTCCTCTCAGTAAAGGTGAAAGGTGAGTGATCCTCTCCCGGCTGTGCGGGCGTCGAGGTCGGCCCCGCCCACCCAGGACGGCACAAGAACAAGAAAAACAAGCGAACTTCTCCAGGAAGTGTGAAGATAACACCGTTAACCTTTGAACTTTACCCAATAACAACAACATAGAAACAGTTCAATGTAAATATAGAAGGAAAGGTGACAAATGAAGGCGAAAATACTCATCTTTTGGCTGTGTTATGTGGAGAAAAGTGGATAAAACACACAAACACACACCTACATAAAACAAACTTAAACACTGAAATACTGCACACACACACATATTTACACTATTTGTAATCTGCTTTTCTGGTATGAACTACTATCAAAGTGAATCATCAGCTACTGCGAATCCACTGACCATCAGTAATGTGTTGAACGTCATTATTGTTCATCGTAGGAGTCACACTTCATGTCTGGAAGAAACTACATGTTGGTACAAAATCAATAAAGCTTGAGTGGAAAATATTCCCCGTCAGTCCAGTTTTTAAAAGGAGACGTCGCTGCTGCTTCATTTATGTCACTGGAACAAGATGCTCTCATGAACACAACGTCTGACGAACTAAAACACCAGAGGAGCCAATCAGCAGAGGTTACACTGACTGACACATCAGATAGCCGCTGACTTAACTTCTAAGTATGGATGAAACCTTCATCAGGCACAAAAGGGATCAAAAATACAATGCAAATGACGGATGGATTGTTGGAGTAGAACGGTTATTCCCATTTAAATCAACGTAGCATTTGTATGTTCTGGAGGGCTAACTTCTGCATAAACTAAACCGACTTTTGGGAAGTCGCGGCCTCACCGAGGTGACGTTTTGCAGCAAGGGATGAACGAAGGAGTTGAGTCGTAACGTTAAGAAACACGGAGAGCCGGAGTAAATTAGTCAAATTGAACTCAATGCTTCATCCACGCAGCGTAGGAGAGCACATTGCTACCAACTTTGTAACTTTACATTTTTGTAACTCGTGTGGCATCAAACCATGATTTGCAAGCTAGCTGGCTAACAAGCCACCTGTCCGCTAGTTAGCCTGCTTGCTAATCCCGCCATGCTTTAATGCTACAACGGGTACAGGAAATGCTAGCTAGCTAGCTCTCTTGGCCAATCAGGATGAAGATGACGTCCTTTTCTTAAAGGGTTTAAGAGAGGTGAAGAACGTCACCTTCTGATCCTCGTTTCAACAGATTCAGGTCTTCAGCCCTTTAGAGACTTCTTTATGTCTGATTGAGGGTGTTCTTCAGAAGCTGGAGTGAATACTGAAGAACACCTTTCTGCTAGTTAACCTGCATCAGAGCAGAGCTTTATTTCAATGATTTAGTTTTTGTTGTCGGAGAGGCGCTTGATTATAATCAGAGTAGTGTAGGTGAAGGCTGAGGAGGGAGACTAACCTGCGGACGCGCTGGCAGTCAATGAATCACGGATCCAGTGGCTGAGTTTTGCAGTTTTATTTGCGGGCAACAAACAAACTCTTGTGCTGAATAATACATTCAAAATGGTTTCTCTTGATGTACAAAGATAATCAACAGCGTCAAACAATAATAGTGATAAAAATAAGACTCCCCCTCTCCTTCATTCATGTAACTAAACTACTGAACAGCTGATGTGCCCTTTGCGTTCCCCAACACTACATGACTCGATTACCAGAAGTGACAGAAAAGGGTGTACAAAGTGCCACAGGCCGTATACCTGGCTCCTACAAGCAGTTAGTTTAAAATGAAGGAGGCATTGTTTTACGTGAGATCTGTTCCACAGAGTGTTTCTGCGGTGAGGAACCGTCTCTCAGACTGTCTCCCCGATCAGCTGACATCTGGGGAATCGATGTTCCGGCCTCTGTTTCTCTACCGGATGGATTTCACACACCGACGTGGCGGCTGGGTCAAAGCGGCGAACCGCGGAGAGAGAAATGTCTTTTTACAATACAGCCAATCCTCCCAGCTGCTTTCTCCTCTGTCTGAATACAGCAGAACAGGATCCAATGGAGGAAGAAGCAGTGGACTCAAGGAGGAGAGGATGTGACGGGGAACAAACAAGTGAAGAAAGTTTAACGGTTAAACGAGTGAAAGCACATCAACACAAACCAACGATGTGAATAATAATCACTAAATCAACTCTTCTCCAGCAGAGCGGTTCCTCCACCTTTTACTCTGTGTGACGCCTCACATTACACCGCCGTGTGTGAGTCCTCTTACCGTCAATTAGGAGAGGAGAGTTTGACACTGTTCATTAGTGGTTAACAGCTGTGTGTGTGTGTGTGTGTGTGTGCGTGTGCGTGTTCTCTTCACTAACACGTCAACTCCTCCACTCTGAGGTGACACATTAAAACGTTCTGGAATATTCTGCTCTCCATTAATTAGCATATATTTACATGTTAATGAGCAGAGAGGAGCTGGACTCAGTCGGAGTAAAAACACATTTTTATTTATTTAACTGTCACAGAAAAGAAAAGTAAGTATGTTAAAATGTAGTGAAAGCACTCGGGCCTTTCATGGTGACGCTGTTTCACGTGATGAATTCATGTTTGTTTGCGAGGGATGTGTGTGTGAAGAAGAAGTATAAAAAGACTTACTGGAAGAGACTGATGTGATGAAACATAGAGAGAAGGAAGGAAGGAAGGAGGTAAAAAGGTGAAGGTAAAGTAAAACGACTGCTACTGAACCATCGATGGAAAGAGGAGGAAAGGAAATAAGATGAAGGAAGGAAGTAGATGGGAAGCAAACGGTAAAAATCATGAAGAAGGCGAGTGAAGGAAGGAAGGAAGGACAACCAGAAGGGAAGTAGTGGGGGTGTAAAATGGAGAGAAGGAATGAGGGGGGAAAAGAAGTATAAAACAGGTGAAGTAAAGAAAGAAGAAAATATATTAAAAATAAGGGAAGGAATGAAAGAAGGGAACTGTAAAATAAAAACAAACTGATAAACTACTGAAAGAAGGAAAGGAGTAAAAAAATGTAGAAAGGTGATAGAAGGCAAGAATATGATATGAATGAATACAGAAGAGAAGGAAGGAAGGAAGGAAGCAGGAAGGAAAGAAGCAGGAAGGAAGGAAGGAAGGAAGTTGTCAGCCACTAAAAGAAGGAAGGAAGTGGAGAACAGCAAAACAAACACTGAAGATAAAAAAGCGAGTAAGAGTTTAAAATGTCTCCTCTTTGCTGGAGAAAAACAGCAGGACATCTAGAACACACACACACAAATACACACATACAGTTTTCAACTCCTCCCAGCTGCAGATACTGTGAACACACACACACCACAGCATGTGTGTGTCTGAGAGGAAGTGAAACGACAGTCTGTATTGTGTCAGCGTGTGTGTGTGTCTGTGTTATATGAGCAGTTGTGAAGGTCACGTCTGCTGAGAAGCACACACACACACACTTCCTCGCTGTTTCTCACATGTTCTCTCGTTCTCAGAATAATGAAACAGGAAGTGGTGGGTTTCACATTTGAGAACAAACAGCTGTGAGGTTATGAAAAGTGAAATTCAACAGCTGAACATTAAATGTTTCATTCTCGGGTAAATATTTGGACTTTCTTAAGATCATTTTGTTTTCGTCGCAGCATCACGTCTTTCTAAGAGTTGATAAAACAAGATGACAGAGGTTCAGAGTTGTGTGGGTGAGTTAGCGCTGCGCCCCCTGGTGGCACACTGGTGGAACAGCAACGAAATGTTCCAGGAAGTCTTTCTGACACACACAATGATTTATAATGTCTTTTATTGAATAAAACATAAATTAAAACATAGAACCGATGTGTCTAGAAGAGTTCAGTCCTTCCTTGTTTTGGTTTTCGGGGCTGAAACAGACAGAACGGGTGATAGTGTTAGAGGAGAAGAAAAGAGAAAAGGAAGTGAAGGAATGGTAAATAAATGAAAGGTGTTCCTGTGCAGCAGCATCAGGTTCAAATGTCTGACAAGAACCGAGAGATGAAGGAGTAGAAAAGATGACAAGAGATGAACAGAAGACGAGAGGAAAGATAGAAAAGAGAAGAATCTCTGATCACCGTTTGGATTCTCCTGTTTGTAGAAAGTCTTCAGCATCTCTACAGCTTCTTCTGCTCTGTGACCTGAAACACACTGAACACACACACACACACACACACACACACACACAAGATATTACCACACAGTCATAAGACCAAAGGTATGTGGGCACTCATGTGTGTCAGTTGAACATGTTGCTCTGAAACCACGGGAGTTAATCTGCCTCCGCTTCCCACACACATCAACACACAAACACATCAGTGTGTCCCATCAGACGCACACATACAAATATAGAAAACAACAACAAACAAACATGAGAAGGAGAAGACTCCAGGGACAAACACCTTGAACGTGGTCCCGGTCTCAGGTAAGTGAGCAGATGAGACGTCCAGAACTGAACCGCAGCCGCCGAAGCGCTCGTTCCTGCAGCCGTACACGACCGCCGGGATGTCTGACAGCCGGTCAAGGAACAACAGCCGTCCTCACACACACACACACACACATATATATATAAGTACACACACACACTGAGGTTGGGGGGGGGGGGGATACTGAGCAGGCGCAGGGCTGCGGCACACATGATGCATGGCTCTACGGTGACGTACAGGGCCGTTCGCTCGCACACGCCGCTCACATGCAGGCTGCCGCGGCGACACCAGTCCAGGAGCTGATCCAGGGCCACCATCTCAGCGTGTCGAGTGGCCTAACACACACACACACACACACACACACACACACACACACACACACACTCAGTTTACCTATAATTAAATGTGCTGTATATAAATAAATTGCCCCAAAATATTACCCCAAATATCAAGCTATCAACTCTACTGACATTGTTTTCTCATAAAAACACAGGAGACTAGCTGGAGTTAGTTCAAACACGCTTAAATTATTTCATACGTTTTTGGTCTCGTTGACTTCATTGCGACCCTTTCCCACCACTTCATGGTTGTAGACCACCAGACAGCCGACCGGCACCTCTCCGCTCTCCAGAGCCTCTTTGGCCTGCAGCGTCACATGAACAGCAGGTCAGCACGGACAGTCAGGTGGCGTTCAAACAAGAAAGCAAGCGAACAGAGAACAGTCACTGGTGATCTGTATGTGCAGACTGGACTAATATGTTCACTATCAAATAATCTGTTAATTGCTTCTTTGTTTTGTTGCTCTTGTTTTTTATTTGCTTGTTTTATACTGAAATAGTAATATGTTCCTGTCAGACCACTATGGCTCTCCACCGCTTTTCTTTTAAATGTTCATTATGTGACTCACCTCCTCTGCATATTACAAAGGGAAGCTCTTTCTGTGCTTTTAAAACGACATTAATCATGTACAATTATCATATTTCAGGAAATATGACAGTTGTATCACTGAGAGATTAGCTTCAGTAAATAAGCGGCAAGACATTCCTGTCATACATTGTAATTAAACTAAGTTTATATTCATCTCTCACCATGTCGAAGGCGCTGGACATCCACTTCTCAATTTCCTCATCACTCGGATAAAAACTCTCTTTACGGCCTTCCTCTGTTCCCATGGCAACTGCTACTTCGTAACTCTACTTAACATAAGTCATACTATTAGCGTATGATGAGGAGTTTTAGCTTATTTCTTTACTTTATTTTTTAATTACAATTTCTTTCGTTGTAATTCACACGCCATGCACCTACTTCTCGTGGGGGGGAAGATAATATTGGACGGACCAGTTCCAGACATGACCAATCGAGCTCGACAGGCACGTTCATGATGACGTTTTCGATGCATCAAGCTGACTACAGTTAGCTGGATGTAAACCGGAAATTAGGGATTATTTATATAAAATAAAATCTTATATTTTCAAAAATCAAATATTACAGTTATTATATGTAATTATAATTATTTAGATATTATTTAGCTTTACTTTTTTTTATTTATTTGGTACTACATTTATATTTATATTAAATATTTTATTGATTATTTGATATAATTTAATCAATAAAAATGTAATGGCCCGTATCAAAAATCTTCATGTTATTGTCTTTTTGTTAAAAAAAAAAAATACTATAATGAATGCATCTGTCTTGACTTACAATTTACTATTTTATTTTAACTTTTATGTTATTTAGATTATACCTGTATCTAGTATGTTGAACTACTTTAATAGGAATATGATAAGAAAAGACTACTATGACCATAATTCTATTAAAAAGCAATAACAGTATCATGAAATGTGAGTAAAAACCGATCCCGGCCATAACTGAACTTTTTAAACATCGGCTTGTCTCAACAGGACATGTTCTTTACACGACCAGATTCGTGTTTTATTTTGAAATAGAAAACCGGAAACTGTACTATTTACTCTGCCTTAACTTTTCTTGACGTACTTTGGCACTTCTGACAAATAGCATGGTAGCAAGTAGTTATGCTAACTAGCGAAAAGTATTCAGGTGACATGTCCGTGAACTAGTCAGCATAAAGTTAAGAGAGTTGTAGTTTGTGAACCCCCCAGTCAGGATGTTTTCATCTGTCTGGAATTTTGTTAAACGCCACAAGAGGAAGTTTATTTTCACCGGAGCTGTAGTTGGAGGTAACTGGTGTTCCTGTTAGCATCTGAGCTAAGCTAGCTAGTAGCTTTAGCAACACGCCGGACTGCACTGAAAATATGTTCTAATTTGACGTTAGATCTCGTGCGTTTTAAATCTATGTATTTAAGGAGGTTTCTAATATTCGAGCAGTATGTCTTTTCACTTCGGCGTATATATTTTCCATCAAATAGCACAATTTTAGACATAAATGTGCTGTTCTTAGACAACCAACCAGGTGTTAACGTTAACTTAACTCAGCGACACCTCTTTAAATTGCCACAAATTTGAATGGAGTCTGGCGTGACGTTTATATGAGCTCATCATTAAGCTCCTTTAACGTGAGGACGACACCTGCCAGGTGAATATTAGATGTAACTAAAGTGATGACCAGTAACTGTGATGTGATTACAAACTTATGTCACGTGGCTTTATGGAAACTAAATGTTGGCTTCATGTCGTCTGAGCAAATTGCTAATTGTTTTAGGAATAATAATTAGTGATAATTAATCAAGTATCTACATCTGTAGCGTTAAGTAGGCTTTTCAAAATAATTCAAAAGGTTGTAAAATATTATTTTTATATATATATATATATATACACACACATTATGTGTATGTATATATTATGTGCTTGATATCAGTTAGTAATACTTTGTATGTGTTGCTGACCCTCAGGAGTGTACTTCCTGGGTAAATATGCCCAGAAGAAGATCGGTGAGTTCCAGGAGAAGGAGGCGACGGAGTACATCGCTCAGGCCAGACGGCAGTTCCACTTCGAAAGCAACCAGAGGACCTGCAACATGACCGGTAACGACAACACTCTTCTCAATCCTTTTCTTCCTATTGTCAGGATCAAAATGTAGGAGTTCATCTTCGCTTAACACATGAAGTGTGTGTGTGTGTGTGTGTGTGTGTGTGTGTGTGTGTGTGTGTGTGTGTGTGTGTGTGTGTGTGTGGGGCAGTGCTGTCGATGCTCCCTCCACTGAAAGAAGCCATCGTCCATCATCTGAACTCAGAGAGCCTCACTGCACTCCTCAAGGACAAGTGAGTAGCGCTTTCTTCTACTGTTGAGCGTCTGAGCTTTATAAATGTGACAGTATGTTTTTGTTACTAGACGTGTTGCTTTACTGCATGTAGAGAAATGGAAATTGTAAAGCTGTTGTTTCTTCTCTCACATGTTGTCTTACAGACCCGACAACAAGCTGGAAATCTGGGAAGATTTAAAGATCATCAGTGAGTCCCTTCGCAGCACAGTTGTATCTCATTAGTTGTAAATAATCACACAAAGCTTTTCACTTTGAGATTTGAGTTCCAGCTTTTGATCCCAAACGTGTGACACTTGGTCCTGTTCAGGTTTCACCCGCACCATGGTGGCCGTGTACAGCACCTGCATGCTGGTGGTTCTACTGAGAGTCCAGCTGAACATCATCGGAGGGTACCTGTACCTGGACAACTCTGTGGGCAAGAGCACCGCGGTGAGGAACCCAGTAGTCCGAAGTTACATCAGATCACTGTTAGTTTAGTGGCGTAATATCAGAGTTCTGGTTTCTCTGGAGTCTCGTAGTGAAATCCACACATTCCGAGTCTTGTGATTGGTTCATTCCCTCCACACGAAGGCTTTTTACTTTCTACTTTTTAAAGTAGTTTCACTAAATATATATATATATATATATATATATATATATATATATATATATATATATATCTCACAATCAATGCACAACAACAGAGCAGCGGAAGATTAAATAGAATATTATTTTACATTTGTAATCTCTCAGACTCCTCTGGCTCCTCCAGATGTCCAGCAGCAGTACCTGTCCAGTATCCAACATCTACTGGGAGATGGTAGGATGGACACACATACACACACACATACACACACACACACGTGCTCATAATCCTTCATTGAACCTTGTTTGTGTCTGTCTGTCAGTACAATCTTCACCTCTCTGTCTGTGTGCCTCCAGGTTTGACGGAGTTGACGACGGTAGTGAAGAAATCGGTGCAGAACTCTCTGGGAGGGTGAGTCTCTCTGTCTCCTCATTATTTGCATTGTTTTCGGTTCATCTTTTAATTGTTTAGACAATAAAATGTCAAGAAACGGTGAAAACTGCTCACAGCAGAGCCCCACGAGACAACCAACAGCAAAATGTCCATGAAATTCCTTTACCACTGACGTATAACCCTAACATTTGTGAGGCTTGAATCCCGTCTGCTTGAGGAGTGACTTGTCACTGGTTGGTCTCCAGCGTGTCCCTGAAGCAGAGCCTGTCTCTGCTGGAGCTGGAGCAGCAGCTGAGCTGGATCCGGGCCGAGGTGGAGGCCGGATCGGAGCGCCCGATGTCCTGGTACATGCTGGCCGACGACGAGAATGCGCTCGCCGACCAGGTCGCCCGAACACGGAGCACGAAAAACAAATATGCAGCAGAACTCACCGAGGAATAATCTGTGTGTGTTTTAACTGATCTCACCTCTTGTGTGCAGGCGTGCGGACTCACAGAAAACGATATCGTGACCATCAGACTGTTGAACGAGACTAGAGACATGTTGGACAGGTAACACACCACACCTGGGTGGTCCTCTCTTCACCTGTAGACGTGTTTGTGTGTTCTGATGTGTGTGTGTTTGTGACTCCAGTCCAGACTTCACCTCCGTCCTCAACGCCAGTTTAAACCGCGGCTTCTCTCGTCTTCTCGACAACCTGGCCGAGTTCTTCCGCCCGCCTCCCGGTGACTCCGCCTCCAGCTTCGCACCTGATAGGTCAGCTGGTTTTGAATTTGTTATGTTTCTGGTCATAAGAACCACTGTTAACACGCTAAATCAAAAAACATTAAAAAAATGATTGTTTCCTGCTTGATTATGAAGAATTACATCATCAAACCTCTCACCAGTTTTTCACAATTATGAGGCATTTCATATGTGCTCATTGTTGTTAGTTTGCTGAAACACATCATTTCCTTTGTGTTCGTCCGTCCAGTCTGTCTGCAGTCAGTCTGCCGCTGGCCAAGATCATCCCCATCGTCAACGGTCAGATCAACTACGTCTGCAGCGAGACTCCGAGCCACTTCGTTCAGGTGAACAACTCACACACACACACACGACCGTCGGAGAAACGCTGAGTCATGGAAATGACTTTGCTTCTGTGTTAAAAGATGGAATAAACCAAACCAGATATTAAAGTGAGGGGCTCTTGTCACATCTAGGTTTTTATTATCGGAGCGTATTGTTTCAGCTCAGTATTAAAAAAACAAATATTACTTTTTATATTTTGATGGATTATGTACATCCTGTTTCAGACAGAAGGCATCATAATAAACTATTTTAATAAGTTAATTATCTTCTGTCCGTCTCTGTCTGTCTGTCCGTCTCTAACTGTCCGTCTCTCTCTCAGGACTTGCTGATGAACGACCAGGTGAAAGAGTTTGCGGCCAACGTCTATGAGACGTTCAGCGCTCCACAGGAGCTGCAGAAATAATGCAACCACGCATGAAGGAGAAGGAGGAGGAGGAGGAGGAGGAGGAGGATTGAAGAGGAGGAGGAGGAGGAGGAGGAGGAGGAGGATTGAAGAGGAAGAAAAGAGGGATGAAAACAGAAATTATGAAAACCCTGAACTGTTCATCCCTCCTTCCTTTCTGTGAGACACTTCTCTCCTCAGAACCCGCCGGCCTTTTCACTCTGACGGCAGAAATCAGAGTCCGTTATGGATTATTAACCCGGAGGAGGAGGAAGAAGAAGCAGCAGAGACTTGCACTGTTGTCACAGCAGAGCCTGTGGTTAACCCTCGGACCACTGCACCACCAGTGGTGAGTTTTAATATCAGGACGGTTGTTACACGGTGGTGGTGTTTTCTGCTAAAATTCAGTTTTAGTTCAATTTTTAAATTAGAAAGAAAGTTCAATTAAATTGTTCTTGTCACGATGGAGAGAATCCACAGCAGCTTGTAGGTGAATTTTTGGGAGATTCCATCTTTTAAAGACACGTTTAAAGAGTCAGAAGCTGATCAGAATGTCGTAGTGGCGTTGATTGATTCCAAATGAAATATGTGGTCAAAGCGGTGAATGTGAAGTTTCTCTTTTTCCATCCACCAAACAACACACAGCAGTTCACCTCTGTTGATGCAGAGTTATCAATGAGCTGATTTCAGTCCTTCCTCAGTGTTTTGTTGAATATTGTAGTTCCTCTTTCTGCCCAGCAGGTGTCTGCGTTGTCCTCCTCTGTCTCCACATGATGGGCTTCATTCCAAACATGTTTTTACGTTAAGTCAAATTTTATATATTTGTGATTCTGTCCTTGATGGCGCTGTTATTACAGGCTGGTTTACAGCCTAAGAGTACTCCTAACATCCAACGTTTTACATTAACAGACACAATTATTTAGTGTTTTTCTCACTGTGGGAGATAATATTGTTTGGGAATGAAATCCTTCAGTGTGCTTCCACCGCTGCTTTCGTTGTTCACTGGATCTGTACGGATGTCACTTCTTTAAGAACTGAAATGGTTCGACAGTAAGACTGTTATCCAAAGCCAGAGGTGATCTGGGAACACTTGGTTAACGGTGGAAAGCCTGTTGGCTCTTAGTGCCGCATGTTCTCAAAACTCTCCCCACGTCTGATTAGTTAATGTAACGAAACCGTGTGTGTGTGTGTGTGTGTGTGTGTGTGTGTGTGTGTGTGTGTGTG